GCTGCCCCCCTCTGCAATGAACCACGAGGTCTGCCTGGCTCAGGTTCCCAGGGTGAACAAAGGGGCAGACCATGGCTGAGAGAAGGGGAATGTCACACAAGCTAGGTAAGCAGAATGCTCCTCCAAACTCCAGCTAGCACTGTCCCTGGGCAAACCTTTCAGCCTGTCCACTCTGAGCAGTGAAAGTGGAACAGAAAGAGCCACACCTAGGCATTCTGGTACCACTGACTGACTGGGGGGAAGGAGGAGGCAACTATCCTCCTCTCACTGGATTGAATTTTGCTATTCCCAATTTTCCATGAGTCTGGCACATGTGCTCCAGTAGTGACCAGTAACACAGCAAGGTGCTGTCCCAGTGTGTAGCAAGAGCAGATACCCAGCAGCTTTGGTTAGTACAGCGATAGGGTATGCCTCAGAGAAAATAACACGGATGGCAAAGACAAACAGCATTCCCTGAGGCCCTGAAGGGAGGACAAGCTGACACGTGACCTGTGGGAGCTTAGCCGGTGAACATGCACAAAGTTCATTCTAGCTGGGCATGGTGGCACAAATTTATAATCACAAGGCTTGGGAGGCTGAGACAGGAGGAACATAAGGCCAGTCTGGCTAGAGAGGAAGGACTACACTCTCTGCCCCCCCCCCTCTCTCTCACACACACACACACACACACACACACACACACACACACACACACGGAAGGGAGAGCAGGGAATCCAGAGTTTAAAAAAATATCAGGAGGGACTTCTTTATACTGGTCACCACTTACTGACACATGAAAACCCAGTCAACTAGAATTCTTCCAGGCGCTCCTCTGGACCAGGTAACCAGCTCTGTACAAAGCCTACCAGGCCAAGCCCTCTCTTATCACTCTGTTGTGTGTCAAAAAAAGAGAACGAGTCACTAGCCAGAGGCCTGATGTCTTGACTCTTTGCCTTCTGCTCTCCTGTATCCTCAGGGACTGGCTGAAAGGCCACTGTTTCTAGGGCCTTCCCTAACCTCAGGCTGATTATTCCCCATCCCTCTTGTGCAATCTTTTAAACCTGAGTTCACACTTAATGTTACAGAATGTAGATCTTATCCAGTCTTTACTCCAGGAAGCTCTAGGCCTACATCTTTCCAAGGCCCTTGACCTCTTAACATTTTGTAGATTTCACCTTGCCTGTCCCCTTCCCAAATCCTGTCCCTGCGCACAGCGGGGAGAAGAATTCTGTCTCTAGTTTCTAATCCTCAGAGTCCTTGGGATACGCAGATGGCTCAGTGGATAAAGAGCTCAGGCGTGACGACCCGAGTTCAGATACCCAGAACCCACACCACCCAGTAATCCCAGCAAGCGGATGGAGACAGGAAGTCTCTAGAGTGAGCTGGCTAAGCAGACTAAGAGAAACAGCAAACTAAAGGTTGGGTAAGAGACTCTGCTTCACCATATAGGAAGATACCTGAAGTCAGCCTTGGGCTTCCAGATGCATGCACACACATGCATTCATATGGATGAGAACATACACATGCACTACCCTACCCTACCCTACCCTTAATCTTACCCTTAAACGTAACCTTACCCCTTACATTATCACTAACCCACTACCCACCCCTACCACTATTCCAACGAAATCCAAACTCCACCTCAACCCCAAACCCTATCTGCAATATCCTCTGCCCTCTGAGAGGAGAGAGCACACATACGGTATACAGTGACACTCACAAGCAAAACAAAACAAAAAACCCTCATGCACACAAAAATTGAAATAAATCTTTAAATAAATAATAAGAAAAATCAAAAGAAATTGGGTCTTTGGAGAAGTAACTGTCCAGTTCCATGAGGTTTCTGAGTTTGGGTCTTATAAAAGGTCAGGAAACACTAACCTAGGCTTTGCCTTAGCTGCCTTTCTAGTTGCAGTGATGACAGACCCTGACGAACATAACTTAGGGGGAAAGGGCTTATTTTAGCTCACAATTCCAGGTTACACCCATCGTTTCTGGGACGTCACAGTGGTTAGAGACAGTCAGTCATATCATATCCAAAATCAGGAACAGACAAGCAAAGAGTATACACATGTCTGTCCTTCCCCCTTTCTATCAGTCTGGGGCCCAACCCACATTTGGGGTGACTCTTCCCAGCTCAATTAGCCCGTTAAGAAAATCACTCATAGGCAGAGTTAGACATCTCCTTACTAAGATTCCTTTCCCACACCGTTCTAGATTCTATCAGGTTGACAATTAAAAATAAATGGGTGGAGATTCCTCAGCAGCTAAAAAAGTACTGGATGCTTTTGCAAAGGACCCAGGCATAGTTCAGTTCCAGCTTATAGCCAGCTGTCTGTTAACTCCCATTCAGGGCATCCTTGACATTCTCTTTCAGCCTCTGAGGTTACCTGCATGCAGACAAAACACCCAAGACACATAAAACTTTATAAAGTAAATCTTAGAAAGAAAGCTAACAACCATAGGCCTTTTTTTTTTCTTTATCTTTCTTGTGTTCTGTTAGAGGACATATTATTTCTTCCTTTCCTCTCTTCCTGCCATGTAGGCATATCTAGAGAGTCTAGCAGGAATGGATGGATCTTGTACTGAACTTGCCAGCGTCTTGATCTTAGAATTCTCGGCCTCCAGAACTGTGAGAAAATGAATTCCTATTGCTTATAAATGTTTCAGTTGTACGAATGAACTTGGAACACCAGGGAACTGGCTCGTCTCATTTGTGGTTCCCTTGCCTAGTGTCTGATGCTTAGTACTCACTCACTATTACACTTGAGGCTGGGGGGTGTAGCCCTGGTCTAGCACTGTTCAGGACCTAGGTTCAATCCCCAGTGCTACAAATTAAAAAAAAAAAAAAGGAATGGGGAAAAAAAGTCACACTGAGGTGACGTAAACCTTGGTCTCCAGGGACTTATATGCTAAAACAGTTCTCTCACAATATGCTAGAGGAAAACACTCTACAGGGTGTGGCACTATCGAGATGGGTGTCTTCCCTTTTCAGAACCCTCACTGAGGCTGCAAATATCTCTGATCTACTCAGGGTAGCTGACTGCTACCCAGGGCTTGTTTTTATCTAACCAGTGGTCTGGAATGTTGCTTTCTCATCTCTGAAATCCAAATCCTCTGTGTTCTCTCTCTCCTGCCCCCGATCCCTGTGTGTGTGTCTATGTGTGTGTGTGTCTCTCTCTCTGTCCTTCAACAAGCTCTTAGAGGAGGCATCTGCCTTCTCCCTGATCAGCCTGAGAATTTTGTTGTGGCCATATAGGGCCAGGGCTGCCTCCTTCCAACCCAAACCCAGAGCTAGCACTCATTTAAGCTGTCAAAAAGGTTTTGGGCTGCTGGGCGGTGGTGGTGCACGCCTTTAATCCCAGCATTTGGGAGGCAGAGACAGTCGGATTTCTGAGTTCGAGGCCAGCCTGGTCTACAGAGTGAGTTCCAGGACAGCCAGGGCTACACAGAGAAACCCTGTCTTGAAAAACCAAAAAGAAAAAAAAAAAGAAAAAAAAAGAAAAGGTTTTGGGCTAATTTTGGTTTCTTAAGGCTCTACCCTTTGAAATATCTACTTGTCACTACAAGTGCCCATTAGTTCTAGGCCTCCAGATCACAACCCTCTGTTGGAGGCTGCCTCCTTACTCCATGGCCCAAGCTCTGCTTCTGATTAGTTGGGCTATGCCCTCTAAAATGTGGTATAGGATAGCTGCTCCTCAGGGTCCTAAGAGACTCAGGTGTCTTTCCTCTTTCACTCAGCCTAGAACCTGTAGATCCCGAGGCCTCCCAAGGCAAACATCCCTGCTAAGCTATCCTGATCTTACTTAGCACAGGGAAGATGCTTTCTGGGGCTATGTGATAAGGGTAGAGGCAGCCTTGGTATTTGTCCTGATAACAGCTTTAGCATTCAAAGCCCAAAACTGCTTCGGATATTGATGCCTTAAGTCAAGACAGTCCTCCACCTGAGAGCTAGGGTCTGCTTTGGAGAAAGCCTTGGCCTAGCTTCAGCTGTCTGGTTGTCACAAGAGAAAGAACTGACTAATTCTTCCTGGTACTTTAACCCTCTCAGCCTGTCTGCTCCACCTCAAAGGGTACAGAAAACGGCAGTAGCCTACTTTGTCGGGATTTATGAAAATTAACTCTATGCTATCTATAAACATTTTAATACTGCATCTACCTTAGTGCCTTACACAAGTGCGCCATTATCTGCTGAGGCTAAGAAAGGGCAATGAGCTAGTCAAAGTTCACAGCAATAGCTAACTGGAGGAGTAAACATGTAATCCCAGTACAGGTCCAAGCCCAGCTCCAGGTTACAACCAGAAGGAAACACTCCCTGAACATGAAGCCACTCTCCAACTGACACTAAAGGGTTTGGGTCCCACACCCTGTGACCCCTCCCCTGAGATGGCACCTCGCTGTTTACAGTTTATTAATATCAACTCTTGTGCCTTAAGCAGAGCTCTACCATAACTTCCCGCTGTCCCCACTTCGTGAGTAACCCAAGGGGCTCGGGTTTCCTCAGGGCAGAGGGAACCAGTGAGCAAGTAACCAAAACAGTAGCAAGACAAAAGCGCTGAGTTTGGGAAACCAGAGAAAAAGACCTTCCCTTTGCTGAGTGCTCTCAGACCATTCTTTTTTCCCCCCTTTCCCGGCCTCAGGCTTTCTACAGTTCCCCGGGGAACAGGATCACCCAACGTGCTTCAAGCAGAGCTATTCGGTTTCTGGGCAAGGTTGTGCCTTTTTTGCCCATTGGACTTTTCCACTTGACGGCTCTCCGAATTCCCTGGGCTTCAAGCCCCGGGAGATTCAGAAACAACCATAAGTGGAGGACAGGAGATGAGAGGGAATATCCACCTAGCTAGGACCGGCTAGAAGCTCCAGGCTGTGCTGAGGCCGAAGACGACCCAAGGTCGCGCGCGGCCAGACCCTGCCCGGCTCTAGGGCGGAGTCCCCCTCAGTTCCCCCGATGAAGGCAAGGCCCTTAAGAGAGGCACTGACCGGGCTCGAGCGGCTGCCCCGCTACCTCTGCCTCCGTCCTCATGACCCGGGTGGCGCAGGGCGCCCATGGCCCCGGCCTGGAGCTGATTGCAGCTGCGACTTCTGCTGGGCAGCGAGCGCGGCCAGTGAGCCCAGAGGTCCTCCGCCGCCGCCACCGCGGTTCAGACCCGGGTAGGCGGTGGCTAGGCCGCCTCAAGCCACGCCTAATCCCTTCCAGGTCTGGGAGCTGGAAACCCGCCCCTTCCATAAGCCACGCCTCTTCCCTTCCACCCAACTTCGCTTCCAGACCCGGCTACCCGCAGGTCCTTCCCCGAAACGCTCCGGTGGCCCCGCCCCCTCTGCTAGCCCCGCCCCCAAAGCGACGTTGACTCCCTACAAAGTACCTAGCACTAGTACCTCCGCTAGCTCTGTTCTTTTGCAGCCTCGGATGTAAGCTCTGGTCCTTCGCAATGCCTCATCGAGACTCCAGGGAATCCTTTTCCGACTCCCTTTAGGTCTTCTTTCCTAGACAATGAATAATGATAGTTCCCAGTACTCAGTGCATCCCTTACCTGACGATGACCGGATCCAAAGCTTAAATTCCTAGTCCAAGCCTCACTTCCTGTCTCCCCTGAGCATTGGGCTCAAGCCCAGATCCCGCCCAATCCGTCACTACAGTACTCAGTAAGCATGGGTCACCATGTTCTTTTATGGGCTCGAGGATTGATGTTTCCGGCGGTCCCCGGGCCCTCTCCAGTGCCGGAACTATAGTGCTAGAGCCCTGGTTTCCCCAGCCGGCTAAGTGAGAGTAAAGGGCAAGTAGGCTTAAAGGAAAGGGAGGGGCCTGCGCAAGGCATTCTGGGAGCGCGTGGTGTTCGCGATACTCGGGCCCGTCGTTTCCTCGCCTCACGCCTTCGCCTTCTAACGTTTGTGCCGGAACCGAAAAAAAAAAAAGCCTGAAGTTAGTTGGTGAGGAGAGGCGGCTAACGGGAGAGAGGAGACCAGAGCTCCCGCAGAGGGTTAGGAGCTGGTGGGAGGGACGCTGCGGAGGAAGGAGGTCAGCGGGGCATAGCGGAGGGCGGGAAGCCAGGGCCTCTCCAAATATCATCTCACTAGCTTTGGAACAGTTATTAATTTACGCCTAGTCTGCACGTTCGGTGCCTTTCCAGGTCACTGATTTTCGAACCTTACAAGTAGTCATTTCTTAGTAATTATCTCCTTTCCTTCTGGATCGTCCTTTTCATCCCTGCTCCACTCGCTTTCCTGCACTGGCCCTCTCCTGCTTTCCACGCTGCTGCAGAAGTTTTTTAGCAGGTTGCTCTGCTATACGTTCGATCCACTTTGTAGATGCTACTAATTTTTTTTTTTGAGCCATTGGCTATAATCCTGCGATGTTTCCCTACCATTTTCAGCACGAAACCCACACTCCTAAAGTTGAAAGCCGTGGTTCCTCACCGAGAAGACTGTGTTTTAGCATCTTTGTAGTCTTCTCCTGAAATAGGTGGTGTGCTCCGGTCTTGAGTCGTTCCCTCTCTCAGCATTTTTAAAGCCCCGTGCGTAGTCTTTGTCTTTTAATGAGACTTTTAAGTCGAGCGTTTTACCCAATTTTCCTGCCTGAGCATTTCCTGTTTATTATAGCGCGGAGCCTTGACAGTTTTGCTCTGCTTTTTGCTGGGGAGTCAAAAAGCTGAATTGAGAAGCACGACGTCTTTTTCTAGATCCCTCTGGGTTTAGATCTAAATGTACGATCAGGTATTCTAGTCTCTATCCAAATTCGGTTGCTGAGTACTTGGAATATCACTGGTGTGACTGAGGGGCTGAGATTTTTTTTTCAATTTGCATTTTAACTACTTGTAAACTCCAGGACCATATCATAGTTGTTTTATTGACTATAAAGGGTCATATGGCTGAGATGAGAAAGGAGATACTCCTTGTTCCCATTAGCTTTCTTTGTTCAACTTACCATCCTTCCCTACCTATCTGTTGTGCTATTCTGCCGTGGTAGTTCCTTCAAGTCAAGAGCCTTCCACAGAAGATTCGGCTCTGACATAATTTGCAAAGCCTGTGGAATGCCTAGTCCTTAAGCTCCGAAAGATAACCGTTGTCTCTCTTTCACTGTAGCACGGGAAGAGCCCTGCCAAGATGTCTATTGGTGTGCCGATAAAAGTCTTGCACGAGGCGGAAGGCCACATAGTGACATGTGAGACCAACACTGGCGAAGTGTATCGAGGGAAGCTCATCGAAGCAGAGGACAACATGAACTGCCAGGTACCCAGCTTTGCACCTGGGGCTGTGAAGGAACGGTGGCGTCTATCCTGGGGGATAAGAAAGGTGTACTTGGAGGTCTTAATGAAGTTAATCTCACCGGACAGTTATTAACGGAGTGCTTTATTGACAGGCTCTGAGACTGTATGTCGGTAGAGACTTAGCCTTGAGGCAGAAAAGTCCTTTAACAGCCTGGTGTGATAGTACATGTATATCCCAGCACTTAGGAGGCTGAGGTTCCAGTTCAAGGCCAGTATGGGCTCTATAGCAAGACCGCACTGTTATTGGTGGGGAGTCAAAAGGCTGAATTGAGAGCACAACCTGTTTCCCTAGATTTCTCTAGGGTTTGGTCTGTATGTACTATCAGGTAGCCTTTGGGCAAATACTGTTGCTGAGTACTTGTCTATAAACCAACCAGATATGTCTAACTTTCTGTCTCATCTCTTAGAGTCAGTCCGGTTTGGAACCAGTGTCCCCTTCCCAGTACAGTTTATAATTTGCAGAATCTTCTGCTCACATATGGTGTGCGCTTACTTTTGTCTTGGAGAAAGTTTTATCTGATAAAACTACCAAAGTTTTGGCAATATGGTTTTAGATTTTTTTTTCCCATCAATTAAGAACTTGAGCTTTGGAATCAGAGAATTCCCTGATTCCAAACTGAGTTGGGCCATAATTATAGGACCTTGAGTATCCTGGTCATTTATTCTCCCCTCTCTAAAATGAAGATGGAGTTGGTTTGTCTCCTCTGTGCTGTAAATTCCAGCCCAGAATTAAATACACAGGAAAGGTGTTGGGGAAGTGGCATGAAGGATGCCAGTGACCGAGTGCGATTACAGAAATGATTGGTTACCTTTCTTGTTGCTGTGATCAAATTCCTGACCAAAGCAACTTGAGGAGGAATTTATTTTGACTCACAGCGTGATGATACAGTCTATTGCAGAGGAAGTCGAGGTGGCAAGAACTTGGGGTGAGTCCTAGTCACGTTGAATCTGCAGTCAGGAAGCAGAGATGAGTGTCTGGACTTAGCCCCATTTCTACTTTTCCCCTCCACCCAATCTAGATAATCCCTCTCAGACATGCCTGTCCCTTCAGAAATTCTAAATCCATCGAGTCGATAATATTAATCATGGTGGCAGGAGAGTCTTCAATCCAGGGAAAGGAAGGCAGACTGAGGAAAATGCGCCTCAGACTGCAACATGACGCTGAGGAAGTTTCGCCCAAGTAAGAGGAGTAACTGGAGGCAGCAATGGCCTGGCTCCGGTGTTTCTGCTGTGGTCAGTCCCTGGCAGCCTGTGTGGAGGGAGGGCTGCCACAGTGGGAGTCCTTGGTGGCAGCTGGAGGTTGTCAGCTGCACACTCCTCCCTGTTGTCTCCTGAAAGGGTGAATGTAGTATCCCGAGACTGCTCCAGGTCTAGCGATGTTAGAGAAGAGATAACGCCTGTTAGCAGCAGCCAGTTCTGTGCTTTGCTGTTGGAATGAATATGTAATGTCTTGCTATATTCCAAGTGAGAAAACGAAAGGTTGAGGAGGTACAGTGCCTTGTTTAGGGTCACCCCTGTGGGTAAGGGGGCCTGACTGTTGCTTTTTAGGGTTTGTGTTATTTTTCTGTGGCTGCCATACTGTACCATTAGAACAGTTCCAGAAGGATGAATCTGTCTTGGTAAGGAGGCACAGTAACAGCAGCAGGAAGCTGAGAGCTGACATTTTCAATAGACAGCATGAAGCAAAGAGCGCAAACAGGAAGTGTCAGAGGGTGCTCAAAGTCAGTCCCCAGTGACATCTTTCAGCAAGGCTACATCCTCTCGCGCCCCCCCCCCCCCAAAAAAAAAAGTATCACCAACTGGGGGCCAACTGTTCTGACACTTTTCATTTAAACAACACAGTTGTGCTGGTTAGGTTTTTGTCATGAGTTTAAAAAGGGGAAACCTCAATTGTGAAAATGTCCCCATCAGATTACCCTCTAGGCAAGTCTGTGGGACATTTTTTTGATTAGTGGTTGATGTAGGAGGGCCCAGCCCATTACAGACTATACGGGTTGTATCTGGGGGGTATAAGAAAGGTAGGTGAAGGCCAAACATGGTGATACAACACCTTTAATCCCACCACTTTCGAAGCAGAGGCAGGACAACCAGGGCTACATAGAGAGGTTATCTCAAAACAAAACAGGGTGTGGTGGTGGACACATCTCTGTGAGTTCAAGGTCAGCCTGTCCTACAAAGCAAATTCCAGGACAGCCAGTGCTGTTACACAGAGAAACAAAAAAAAACAAAAGTGTGTGTATGTTGAGCATGAGCCTGGAGGGCAAGTCAGTAAGCAGCATTCCTCTAGTCTCTGCTTCAGTTCTTGCCAACTTGACTCCTGCCTTGGCTTCCATTAATGACGGACTGTGATCACGATGTGTGTGCCAAGTAAACTCTTTCCCCTTCTCTCCCCAGGTTACTTTTGGCTGTGATGTTTGTTAGAACAATGCAAAGCAAACTAAAACAAGATTTAGCTTAGAGTTGGGTGGTGTGTGTGCGCACACGCATGCCCTCCTTCCCCTCTGCTGGTAATGGAACCCAGTGCCTCAGGCAAGACAGGTTAGCACTCTCCCACTGAACTATACCGCCTGCCAGTTTAGGATTGCTTGTGAGATCCTAATCTGATCTCTAACACTTGATTGTCCTGCCTCAGTGTCCATTCTGTAATTTTAGGTAAGAGCTACCCCACCCAGCTGGGAGGCTTTCTGAAGTCCTGTACTGCTTGGTTTCCTTCCAAAGGAAGGTCCTGTGAGGCGTGGCTGAGTTAGTGCTGCAAGGTCCTGAGCTGTAGTCATCTGCCTTTGTGCTGCTTTTTCGGTTCCAGCCCTCTCAGTTAGGATGTCTTTGGCTATTTTAGGGCATTAGGTTTTTAATAAAGATTTCAAACAGTGACTATTAATTTGTTTATTATGCTGCTTTATATAAAAAAACTTGCTCATTTTAAGGACCTCATACATTCCAAATGTAATGTGTAAGAGTTTGAGCCAGGCAGTGGTGGCACACACCTTTAATCCCAGCACTTGGGAGGCAGAGGCAGGCGGATTTCTGAGTTCAAGGCCAGCCTGGTCTACAGAGTGAGTTCCAGGACAGTCAGGGATATACAGAGAAACCTGTCTTGAAAAAACAAACAAACAAAAAAACAAAACAAAAAAAAGAGTTTATTTGACATACACATACTAAGCTGAATTTATCTGACTAGATGATCATGGTATTCTCAGAAGCACAGCCCACATGATCTTGGTATTACCAGGTTGCAACTTGGAAAGTAGTATGTCTTGTTTGTGAGTTTTATGTCTTTCTTAAAACCTCTTCAAAATCAGTGATGAACTAACAGGTGAATGCTTATTTTGATTTACTTGTAGAGTCTGAACACTTGTATCTCTCTGGGACGGTGATGGCTCCTCCAGGTTCCCCTGCTGTCTCCTTTCTTGTCCCTAGTCCTTTAGAAATGAGGGCATCCTTTGAATATCTTCCCTGCATAACATTTTCTTATAAACTTGGGGGCAGTGCCAGGCGAGGTAGAAGACTTAGAGACAGAAGAGGATTCCATTATAACCACTTCTTTCTCATGAATATTAACACAGACTTCTTTACCTGTGTTGCTTGTGTATATTTTAATTAGAGATGACTTAGAAAAATTATGTAGTGGGATGTTTTTGCAGTGCTGGGAGTAGACTCCAGCAAGTACTCTTCTCTACTCAGCTATGCCTCTGTGCCTTTGTGTGGTAGCTTCACAGTAGGAAATGGGCATTGGTCCAACTAAGCTTGATTAGAAAGCCAGACAGCTAGTAAGTACTTGGCTGAAAACCTGGATTCCTGCGCGTCTAATAAAGGTACATTCAGGTGTGAAGCCAGGGAGAAGGAATTCTCTGCATTCAGATACAGAAGGTCTTAGTAAGTGATGTTCTTAGGTGCTAGAGAGATGGCTCAGGATTTGGGAGCACTGGCTTCTCTTTAAGAAGACCTAGGTTCAATTATCAGCACCCACATGGCAGCTCATAGCCACCTATAACTCCAGTTCCAGGGAATCTGATGTCCTCTTCTGGCCTCTGAGGGCACCTGCATACCTGTGATACACGCACATGCATATGCACTAAAGTTTTGTTGTTGTAATGATCTTACCAACATCATGGTGTAAATCTGCCTTCTTTTAGGGTCCCAAGAGCATTGGCACTTGGTAAGGAAGCATTGTGTCATTGAATTGCATACCTAGAACTTGATTGTTTGAACATAGCTTTGTCATAGCATGTTTATGTCATTTAAAAGTATAGCATGGATATGTATGAAATCTGTGATGAGTTCCCAGAAATGGAACTTTGTAGGTCAGACACTTTTGGGCATCTAGTTTGGACAGGAAGATTGAGATCTTTGATCTCCACTGCATGTACCCCCACCACTTAAGGTGTGGCATTAGCTAGGTGGTAGTGCCATGTTCCAGGTAGATGAAAGTGGTCAGGAGTCCATGTGGTTTTCTACATTTTAGCTAATTTTTGTAGCAGATGTAGAGGACCCCCAGTCTCTTTCCCATCTTGGCAATAGATGACTTAGAATTAGAGGCTCCTCAAATGGAGCAGTCTTTGTTTTTAGCTCTGTCTAGTAACCATAGCCTGAAACATTTGTCTTAGTAGATATCAGAGAAAAAAAAACTTCAAAATCAGAAGAAAAGATATAACCACAGACTTTTCCACCTTCGCCCATGTTTCTGAAATAGCAACTCTGAGACTGAATTATTTATGAGTAATTGCCTAGGCCAAAAGCTTGGGCTTGTTCTTGCTAGCTCATAACTCAGTTATCTAGTTTATTCTATTCTGAGTCCTGCCTCACGGGTAGTTCTCTCTCCTCGGGTTCATGCGACCTTCTCCATCAGCATCAGTCAGCATTTAGGGCAAATTCTTCTGCACCTGGCCTCACCTGACTATCCCAGAATCCCCTCTCCACAATTCTCACCTCCTATTTCCTGCCTCAGCTCATTGGCCAGTCAGCTTTTTATTGACAGGTGGTGCTTTCATACAGTACACATGAGATTCTCTCTACAAAAGATTTCTTAGGAAATCTTAAGTCAGATATTTAATAAATATCAAAAGCCAGAACAAG